TATTAATTAGAAATTGAACAATAGACAACATGATAGGAAAATCTGCTCATATTATGTTTTTGGAAAATTAATAATTATTAAGAATGCTTGTAACTTGCGTAGATGATATATTAAATTGATTTTAATTCTATTTATAACTTTCCTTATTTTTAATTTTTATCGTATTAAATATATCTTTTGGAAAGAATTATTTCAATTAATTATCATAAAAATTCTAAAACCTGTTTATAAATATGCATATAGCATTCAAACTTTGTTTAATTAAAATTAAAAATTTTAATATCATTAATTGATTTTTTTAGTTAATTATGACATTTTATTTCAAAATTTTAAGTTTAATTTTTCTCATGTTTATTGTCCTATCTTTATAAAGATTTATGATAAAAAAAAATAATTTTAGACCAACTTAAATATCTTTGACTATATTGATGCATATTTAAAGTTAATTAATTATTGCATTTAAATAATTTTATATAAGTTGAAAATCTTTCAAATTAATTCTTTAAATGGTGTAATTCAACTTTAAAAGGATATTTTAAATATTTTATTGAAATAAATGATATTTTTCTAATTTACAAATTGATCTTAAGTATATTCACTTTAATTGGATTAACATACGAATTATATAATATTAAATTGAATTTGGTTTCAATAATTTAAATAAGCTTGAAATGATATTAATTTTATATAAACTAATAAATTAATGGATTAGTTTAGATCAGAAATCATAATTTAGAAATGGATATCTGATTTAGAAATTAATGATATTTATTCATATTAATGAAATATAGGAATAAATTTTATTTTTTATTAGTGCTTGTACATTAATCTATTTTGAATATGAAAACGATTAAGACAATATAAAAAATAGATATAGGAGAGTTACAGGAAGTATTTTATTTATATGTATGATGGGTTCATTAAGATCATATGATGGTCCAATAAAACGGTTTTAAGTATGTTGGAGATTTATGCTTTGGCTTGGAGTTACAATGCATTCCTAATATTTCTTATATTCTAAAATGAGAGTGAAGCAAGATAATTAATGAAATTAGGTGATAATAGTTTAGGAAGATCGGTAATGAAAGATATGCATACAAATGATGATAATTGCAAATTCGAAATAGTTAATAGTAGATAATTTAGATCATTATTTCTTATGGCATTGTTTAAATTGGTTTTATTGGCATTCTTATTAAGAGATGTATGGTTTTTTAATTTCTGGTAAATATTTGATAATAATTATCTTGGAAACATATATTACCACATTTTAGAGAATGGTGAGACCATAGGCAATACATTATTTGTATTTTTGGGATTATGGGTTAGTAAGAAATTAGTAATTGAATAATTTAATTGGTTGTGTAGAAAAGATAAATCATTTACATAATGGTTGGTTTGGCATGATCGAAAGTATTTTGGAGCAGCATTTGGTACTTGGTTAGCAGAAACTATAAAATTTCCTTACTGGATTTTTCTTAATGAATTAATTATGGGTACCTCCCAAATGTTGGATGGTGTCATATAGATTATTTGTTTATTTTGGAATGGGAGTACTTAGTTGGTAAGAATAATGAAATGATTTGAAAGGAAATTAAGAATATGCAGGATAATATCGATATTTAGTAGTATGGACACTTTTCTCGGAAACTTTTATAAGCATAAAATTCTTAAAAGACGCTGGATGCCAATAAGCCATATTAAATATCTATTCCATGGATAGCAATCATCATTATAAGTATTTTAGTGTAATTAGTGATGAGAATAAAAAATAAGAGAATATTAAAAGTCTAGGCATAGTGAGTATTAATTATAAAAATATAATTTATATATATATATTTTATATATATTTTATATATATTTTATATATACTTTAAATTGATTTAAATTCTTCTATTGTAACTTATAACCCCTCATTTTACTTATTCATTTTTTTAATCCAAGATAATGGATATGATAGAACTTCTTCTTGTTTAGTGATCTAATCTTAATCTTAATAAGAATCAAAACCATACGAATTAAAATAATATTCATATTATGCCAAAGATTCAATTGTCATTTTATTTAGATCGCAGAATTATTCATACTTTTCTTTAATTTCTTCTTAATCCATACTTAGATATTAATCATCTAATTCATTGGCATAATATAAATCAGTTTCTTCTTAGTTAGTCAATCTAAATAATGTATCGATAAAAAGTCTAGGAGATGACTTAAATTAATTTTAAGAAAACAAATAAAAAACATAAGTAAAAATAGGCATAACCAAAGGTGGTTCTCTTTTATTAGATTATTATTTAATTTAGCCTTTATATCCTTAACAATATCAGTAGTATTTTTTGGCGCAGAACGTGTTGTTGCAGCACTGTAATGCTGAAATTCTGAGCAAGAATTTAAAACATTAGTTTCTAATTTTTTCAATATTTCTTTCAGAAAATATATACATACAACAGAAAATATTAGAGAAGATATCAATGACAGTATAATTGCTGCGATAAAATTATCATAATATTCCAATTATTTATAAACTATATTATTTGCTACGTCATCTAATATCATCCAATTTTCAAATTTTCCTTTTTATTTTTATTACAAATGAGATAAACCAAAATAATTTTCATTTTCTTTTAATTTTTCATCTATTCTTAAAGAATTGTCAACATCAATGTAAATAGCTTCTCCATAAGTTGTATTAAATGATTATTTTATGAAGTTTCTTATCTCCATCTTTTATTTGGAGTTTAAAATTGGATTCTATGGGCAAATACCTGGTTTAATAGAAACAGTTAGTTATTAAAAAGTTGGATTCAAATATCCAGCTGAAAAAGTTGATAACCACCAAGGTTAAAATCTTGCATAAGAAGGGTTGCTGAAAAATGACCAATAAGTAGTGTATGAATACTATAATAAACAACTTCCAACTACATCTATTGTCACAGCCACATCAGCAGATCCACTAGTATTCATAAAGGATTAAATCTTTATAAGTGATCTTAATCAAAGTCAATTTATTATTTAAATACTTATGTAGAAAATATTTAAACTTCATCACTTTCTATTATTAATGGCTTTCCAATATCTTACAATATATTGGCATATAGAGTAGCTTGTTGCCAATAACTTAAATTTGTTATTGGACATCACAAGAACTCTTTTCACAAATAGAAATTTGACCCTTACATATTTTATCAATGACTGTTGCATTCTATGATGCTGAAATAAAACAATCCTCTTAAATCTAATCAGTCAATTAAAATTCTCTTGCACAAACAGCTTGTGATTAAGAAGTATAAACCAATTAAAAGGATTTCGTTGATTAAATCACTAATTCTCCATAAGCCATAGCTATATAACCCTCTTTAGTTAAAATATGATTCAAAAATAGAGTTCTTGGAGAATCTGATATAAATGAGAATTTATTTGTTTGAATATTTCTTATATTCATTTACATTCTTGCGCTTTTTTCACATGTTACATTAAAAGTGTTCTAAACATATAATTCCTATTAAGCAAATACAATGATGCACTCTGAATCAATAGAACATAAAATACTTATGTTAGTCATATTTTTTGGTAACATTAAATCAACCATGCAGTATTTACTTAATATTAATTTCATTGAATACATCACTACAAACATTTTTTAGTCCTATATTTGCTATTCCTTTATCAATAATTTCCCCTTTAATTAAAAATTCTTTTGAAGGGTAAATCTATTATTCTAATCTTCCTTTTCCATACACTTTGAATTTAATTATATGATTAAAAATACTTATAGATAATCTTCAGAGTCACTTATGTTTAAAAAACAATTTCCTGTATGAATCATGATGTTATCTACGATTTCATTAGCATTCCAGTAATAATCTTTGACAGTGGTAAAATATCCCCATAAGAAAAATCCAACGACCAATCCAATAACACAAAATTAGAGACAAAGTCGACAAAATCTCCTAATAAAGATCATACCATTATAAAGACTAAATACTATTAATTTTTACATTTCTGATTTCATGTCGTCGCTTCTTAATATCTATTTAATTTTTCTAATATACTATTATAAAACTACTTCATATATATTCAACTGTCTAATTTAAATGCAAATTTTTATGTTAGTATTTAAATTTCTTAATCATACTTTAATCATAATGTAAATGCTTAATTTGTTTTCGTTTTTATTCTAAATTTTTTTTGATTCTTTTAAATAGTTTTATCATTCTATTTCAAAAATGTAAATGCTATATTTTATAATTAAATCAAATTTTAACTTTTTTATTTATATGCATTTTTAGGATTTTATTTAAATTATAATAATATATGCATCTTAAGATTGCATTAAAATGCATAATCCTACTATTACAAAGCTTTTTTCATATCTGTTCAACTTGACAATAAAATAAATATAATTCTAGCTTCGTTTTATCTATACAACTTGTCTAACTTTAATGGTTTTTTTTTATTATAAATATTAATATCAATTTAACCAGTCTTATGTAAATGGTATATTTTCAAATTCTATTTTGTGTTTGTCAGCATTTCCAAGATTATTTAAAATTCCATAATATGTGATGATATGCATTAATAATTTTGGATTTATAGTATCTTACTTATATATAATTTAATAGTTTCCATTAATAAAGCCTCTCTCCAGGCCATAATCTTCTATTTTTTTCTTAACCATAATAGGTTGTATTTAAACCCTCGATTATTTTATAAGTATTCTTTTTTACTCGACTTATGGTAATGTTGGTATCCAACTTTATAAAATTGATTAATTACCCTTGTTTAAAAACATTTGGCCTAATGGAAGATATTAGAGAATCACATCTGATTAATTCTTTTGTATATAGCAATTGCAGAGTCAGCTAAATGATTATTATTTTGTACTAAGCTTAAGTCTTATTATACGGTTGCCTAAATTAATTTATGTCTTCTTCTAGAGATTGAATTTTCTTCCAGCAGACTATGGCTCTTAAACAAAGATAAAAGAATTAATTATTCTAAAAATTAAGATCCATTGTATTTAAAAAATATATGAACATTAGTTTTGTCATCATTTTTCTACATCCACTTTATTTCCTTTATAAGTTTTTAAATTTCCTTTGTAATTTAAATAATGCTTCTTATTACTAATCAATTTTTTTTAATCTTTATGATTCTATTTGATTGGTATATTCAATATCATTTAATGCCAAAAAACTTGCATCTATCTTTATTCAGTTTTATATTTCATAGAATTTTTAATTACTTCATCTAATGTCTAAAAAAATATTAATTAAATATATTCTCTCTGGTAAAGAAAAATTCTTTTCAATTAATACTTTAAAAATCACAATTAGACCTGTAAAATCTAATTATGCAACTTTAAAATATAATTTATGCTTCTTTTAATGTAAAATTTTTCTCTAAACATAATGGAAACAATATTGATTTGAACCATGCTTATGGCTTAATAGCTTTAATTAATACATTATATAAATGAACATTTAATATTTTATCTTATTGAATACTTAATCTAACTGAAGGTAAAAATTGCTTAAGGAGACCATTCTTAAGGTTTTGGTCAATTCGAACACTTATTTCCAATTTTCTAATTTAGGAATGAGATGGAATGGTTATGTAAGTTTACATGTTTTCATTAATTCTGCTACACTACATATTTATTTATAAATTCATACTTTTCATATACACAAACTACTTTTGGGTTATTACTCTCATAATATTTCTTTTACTCATCTTCTTACATTTCTTTCAGAAATCATCCATAATTTAAGTATTTTTTGCATTATTTCCGACCATAAATAAAGATAAAATAAATTCATCTTCAGCTGAAATTTTAACTTAATCTGTATTTGGCAATTCAATTTAATCTTCTTATTGTTCTCCTTATTTGTCTTTTGGCTTTCTTGTTTATTTTTGGAATTTCTCTTTTGATCTTTCTTAATTCCCTCATTCCTTTCTTTTTTTCTCCAAGTCTTCGAAATAGCTTTCTAGGTTATTAGGAGAATGCAGTTGCACTGTTAAAACTAACTTTCTTATTTCATTATTTTAGAATTCTTTTAGATGTACATAACACTTTTTGCTTTTTAGCTCTCTTTTTAATTACCATTAATTATATCAATATAAAATGCCATTTAATAATTCATGGTTGATTTATTAATTGATCTAATTTAATCTATAACAAGTTTGTATGTTAATATATACCTACATCAAATATGAAATTAGAGAATACTAGCTCAACTTTCAATAATTTTTTTTAGGCTTCCTCAAAACCAAAAATCTCTTAAAAAATATTTTAATTTATCTAGCTATAATTCATCATACAAAGTCTTAGTATTACAGAACACAAAATTCATTTTTCATTTTTTTGAGCTTTAGTTTTCACATTTTAGGTATCAAAATTCATTTCTGTTAATGATAAATCTAGAATATGTGTTAGCAGTGGATAACAAACTTCAAAAATCTTTATTATGAGAAAACATTTCTAAACAATTTTGTTGATAAATTATAGTTAGTTACTAATTTATATTTGTTTTCATTCACTATTCTCTATAATTATTAGTTTTATTTTTAAATGAGTAATTTCAAATGATGTTTAAGATCCTCATTTACAAATTTTTTCAAAACTAATGAATGTTTTATCAAAGTTCCTATAAATTTTTGGACCTCTTTTTCTTAAAAATCCTTTAAGAAGAATTCATTTTAATGATTAAAATTTTTCTCATTAAATAAACTATTAATTATTGATATTTTCATTTGCTAGCACAAATATTTTTCAGTTACTCTTAAAACTTAATCAATTTTCTATTTTTTTCTTTTAATTTTTCTCCAACTATAAATATGCCACAAGAAGGCAATACAACTTAAAAATTTTAATTAATTAATTACATTAAAAAACATAGGGATTAATCGACTACATAATCTCTTGAAGAATTCATTAAATCTCTGTTTTGATAAGCAATTAACAGAATAAGGAAAGTAAAAACTTATAATCTATTCTGGCATATTTATCATTCATTCAACTAATAAATTTAAAACACAAGGTTAATCCATATATTTAGAAATATTTTGCAAAAGTATTTCTGCATTAAAAACTCAGATTGAAAGAAATTTTACAAGCACTTTAATTTATTAGCATCCATTTATTAATTAATAATAATATAGGAGATATATTAAAAAAATAATTATTACTTTGATTTATAACTATTAATAAAATATAAAATGACTGAGATAATCAAGAATTACCTTTCATTAAATTTAATCCTATAAAAACTTATTGATTATATTCTTCGAAAAGTCAAACAGCTCATCAATCTAATCTATAAAATTCTCTTTAGTTAGATAACTTATTTATAAGAAATTCAAAGGATTAAAATAGATAAAAATTTTCAAATCTATATAAAATTAGAAGGAAATAAAAAATTATCTATATA